ATGTGATAGACGACATGGCAGGCGCAATATCGCACATTCTCGCTTTCGTCTGCGACCATGCCCAACACAACTTCAACTCCACGTTCGCGTTCAACGATGGCGCGAACGACATTCTCATGACCCGTGAGCTGCGCCAGAGCGCCACCGGCCGCAACTCGCGTTTTCTCGTCTTCAGCATCGGCCAGTGCAAGCAGAATGTGCATTCGTTGCTTCGCCTGGGGGCTTCCATCGACATAATGCGTCGCTCCCTCTGGTCCCTGAACAAGATTGCAAACAAGTTCGACCGCGGCTCTGGAAATCAAGGTTTTCGACGAGAGCAACAACTCCTCGATATCCGACCACGCGGAACGAACAATGGCACGGCGACAATCGCCATCGTTGGAGGCGAGGTTGGTAAGAGCGAGGAGAGACTCAAATGTCGGCAAAAGGTCGCGAGTCTCAGCGGCTGCATCCGGAGCCAGGATAGAAAGCAACGGCCGTACTGCTGAGCTTTGTGGGTGGGATCGATTGCCACCAAATACAAGACTGGGATCAGTGCTGATCAGGATGCGAGCGAGTGCATGAGCTGCGACGCGACGAGTCGCCGATTCCGTCTCAGGAAGAGTGAGCCAAGCAGTCAACAAGAGCTTGACGGCGCCTTGTTGGGCAATCTGGCCTCGCAGCGGTGCTGTGACAGAGATCGAATTGATGATGGCTATCATAAGCGCAAGAGATGCCGGCGAGCCGAGCTTGCTGCGGGATACGAGAACTGGGACGACACCGGCGTCGAAGACCAGCTTGCAGCGTGCCGCAACATGAGTGTCGTCGTTCAGGGGCTCGGTTTCGATCTTGCCTGCGGCGTTCGCGTATGCCTTGAGCTGGTGCATCTTCTTCTGTTCCTCGGAGAGATTGGGTTGGTACCTCGTCAGGTTGACGAGGATGCTAAGTGCGCCATATGTCAGAGGTGACCTAGGCTGGGCTTCTGCCAGCGTTGAAATGAGCTTTTTCAGGAAATCCTTGTTGCGGACCAAGTCTTCCTTGACCTTGGGCTGCAACGACGCATAAGCCAAACCTTCAATCGAGTGCTGTGTTCCATAATCGTCGTCGCTTAGTAGCATTCCCGTAAACCTTGAGGACAATTCTTCAATGGTCGTTATGGCCGGCGTGATCCTCTCTTCTTTTCCCTGATCATTCAGCGAGGGTGCCGAGGGCACTGCCTTCAGTCTGAAGTCAGTCAGATCTTACTGGATAAATCGCCTTGCGAGGGCGATGCGGAAACATAGCGTTCGGGGTACCATACTCTCAGTTTGGCTAGAATGACGGCGGCAAGGTTCTGCACGCCCTCAGAGTGCCTGCGCATGGTGACGGAGCCCTCCTGGGACAGATACTCTGGGTTCTGCTGCATCTCCTTGACGACCTCGTTGGGATCCTGGTCGACGACCTCCTCGAGCCACTCGGTGCAGTACTTCTGAACGGCGTCGCGACACTGCGAGTTCATGCAGGCTGCGTTCAGCATCTCAAGGCATGCTGTCTCAACTTTGCGGCTCTTCCACTTGCGCCTCATCAAGGGACCCAATGTGCCGAGGAAGCCTTCGCTGAGGAAGAGGGATGCGGTCAAATCCGGAGCGATGGGAAAAGCAGCGGCGGCAACGCAGAAGGCCGCAATGTAGTCGTCGTAGGTACCGCGGCGTACTTTGTCGAAGAAAAAGGTGGATAGCTTGGCGCCTCCTTCGTCGCCGGCGGCCTTGAGATAGGCGGCGACCGTCATGACAGCATGACCGCGAACGACGTCTGCTTGCCTCATGTCGAGGTAAGAAAATACTGTGTCGACGCATTCAGCGTCAAGAAGCGAGCAGATTGACGTGGCATTCTTCTCGACGACGGCAAGCTGCGTGTCGTCGTTCAGGAGCTTGGTGAGCTGGTCGAGATCCTGAACGGTTTCATCGTCCTCACGACCTCCCTCCATTAATCGCGCAAGCAGGAGAAGCGTCTCGTCCTCCCTCGATTGCTCGACCTTGGGCGGCAGAGCCTGGGACACAGCTGCCATGGCGTGAGGCGGGCGGCTCGGATTGCGTGAGATAGTGGTGGCGGGGTGGTGTTGGTTGGGAAGTGAGTGAGGGGTCTGGGCGCGGCGAATATTTGGTGTGGAAGTAGCGCAGCACAGCACTATGGAAACACGGAGGCGGCTGAGAAGCAACAGCGATGTAGCGCAGACCTATCTGGTAGGTCTCGGTACTCGAGATACGGTATTGGCATGGAAATGAAGGGAGAAAGAGGGAGGAGGAGTGAGGAACAAAAAAGGTGCGCTCGTGTCTTGTCAAGTAAGTACCTAAGGTAGGAGGTAGGCAAAAAAAAAAGGGCAAGATAGGACGTTGGGTCCGAGACGATTGGGAAGGAGCTCGTTGGCCTGGGCCTCCCATATCTCGAGGTACTTACAAATGGAACGTTATGGCACGGTACTTCGCGCGAAGCTATCTGTGGCTCCAAAAAGAGGCGTTGCTCAGGGCATGATCCAATGAGAGGGGCAGGTGCTGGACTTCACGCGCCTGCCTGGCCTCTCACTTTCAGCTGATCGGGCCTTTCACCGTCGCCCCAAACAAACCTGCCACGGAGCCCTGACAAGGACCCCTCTAGTCCCCTACCTTAGCACCCAAGTAACAGGCCTCAAGGGCTATCACGTGCATGGGCGCTATTTCCGGGCCGCTGCTAGCAGTGCCTCCAGGACGCTTCAGGTCTTTAAACCCCTGCAATCAAGTGCACTTGGTACCTGGTTTGCTGGCAGCAGAATGGTGAGGCCACAAGTACCTCAGACGCGCAGTGTCACTGACCATGACGCGACATCCGCCGCCGGAAGGGCTTCGCTCAGGCTTCTGGAACACACTGACCCTCGAGGTCAGCGTCCCTCGTCCGAGCTGTAGAAATCGGTTCCAGATGATCTATAATTGGTGAACATCCAAAATTGTCCTTCTTGTGTGATAGGAAGTGGACGAAGCCATATGGCCACATCTGTGCTTGGTCATCCCGAGTGTGCATCAAAATCGACAGTAGATGGCTAGAGCCTGCCTTGTGCCTACGTCCAAGACGTCATGGCAACACAAGGGAATCAACCATGAGCATGCGTCTTTCCCCACTTGGCACCTGCCGATGATCTATCTTTCTATGTGCACGGACCAACTACGAAACCTCACCACATGCTTCCATTCGTAAAGTGAATCTCTGTCGGCAGCAATTGCTGTGCCCATGTCCACGACCTCCAACCGCATTCGTACAAGGGCATTTGGCAGGTCATCAATCCTGTAGATCCCTTTCCCGGGTCTCGCATTTCGTTCTTCCACTCTCCGTAGGCCCAGTAGTGCCGTGTTCACGACCCTATGTCCATGCAACTTCGGTAACAAGGCTCCAACCAGGGCCACCTGCAGCCTCGCCCACAATGAACCAGATCGATGCCTCAGACCATTACGAGGTGGCAAACACGGGAGAGACGGCTTCTTTGTGCACTGTCATTCTCGATGTCAATCCTCGAGCCTGGAGTGCCCTGTCCGACGTCCTCCCCATCTCCAAGGCTCTCTCCAATGTTCTCATCTACCTCAACGCCAACCTTGCCTTCAGCAACACCAACCAAGTCGCCGTCATCGCCTCCCATACGAACCGCGCAGTATGGCTCTACCCAACGAAGTCCGAACCCTCGAACACGCCCTCGACAGACGGCGATGTCGCCATGAGCGATGCGCCACCGAAGAAGGCGAAGGTCCCCTCTGCGAATAAGTTCACACAGTTTGCCCAAGTCGAAGATGCCGTCCTGCGCAGCCTGAAGAAGCTCCTTGACGAGACCACCGAAGCCGACCTAGACTGCACGACGACACAGCTTTCCGGCGCCCTGACCCTCGCCCTCGCGCACATCAACAAGGTCAACCTCTCCTACACAGCCTCCCTCTCCTCCGACACGGCCAAACCCATGACGACCGCCGCGCCAGGCCTCTCCTCCCACATCCTCGTCGTCTCCGTCTCCGACTCGGATCCCTCACAATACATATCCACCATGAACGCCGTCTTCGCAGCAGCCCACGCCTCCATCCCCATCGACGTCCTTTCCCTCTCGCCGGCCACGGCGAAACAGACGGCGGCCACCCAAACGACGGACCCAAACGACCCCCACAAGTCCGCCTCCTCCTCGTCCTTCCTCCAGCAGGCGTCTCACATCACAAACGGCACCTTTCTCGAGCCGCCCTCCCCGCTGGGTCTGCTCGCCTACCTGACCTTTGGCCTCGCAGTCGCCGATACCCGCGCCCGCGCCGCTCTCGTGCCACCGACCCACCACACCGTCGACTTCCGCGCCGCCTGCTTCTGCCACGGCCGCGTCATCGACACGGGCTTCGTCTGCTCCGTCTGTCTCAGCATCTTCTGCTCCGTTCCCGAGGGCGCCGACTGTCTGACGTGTGGCACCCACCTCGCCCTCGGCCACTACGGCGCCAAGCCCGCCGTCGTACCGCGGAAGAAGAAGAAGCGGAAGAAGCAGCTACTGCCGAACGGGAGCATCAGAGAGGTCTCGGGGACGCCCGTGGCCGGCGGCACACCCATGCGTTGAGCGTTGCTAGGTTTCGTCCTTGGCGCTCTTAGGTTGAGCTGCAAGCTACAATTCATCTGTAGGCCAGTACTCATGGCGTGGCTGGCTGTCAGGGATGCCGCGAAGGAAGTGTAAGATTGGAGGAGTACGAGTTCAGCAAGGTCGGGGCACGGCGGTCCTCGGGACGTTTATGATAGATGGATAACTCAGATGCCACATGGCGTAGGCTGAGGAGCTTGTATAATGAATTTGAATAGCATAACGGACAGATTCCGTCCAACACAATTGGCATGGTCTCCAGATCCGTGGTTCAGCATTCAAAATCTGGTGGTGCTTCTTGTAGGATTCTTGTTTTTGCTCGGGTAACGATAATGAAATGTCTAGGGAAAGCCCAAAGTGTTTGGACAAAGGTAGGTAGTGTACACATCGCCCCATTCATCATTCACCATCCGCAGATCTACCCTCCGACAGAAATCTTGCGCGCCCCACGGGTCACCTGCTCGGTATTACCAAGCCGGGACATGACACATTGAGGCTCCTTGTCGGCACCGCCCATGGAAGCCAGCGCGAAGGAATCAGTGTTGTGTGCAAAATAGAGGTAGTACCCAGTGCGCGTCTTCTTCACCGTCATGACCCCAATCGCTCCCACAGAGTTGCAATTCCGGACACCTGGGTGTCCCATGAAATCATTGGAGATGAAGGACTCCATAATGAGGTCCTCGTCGTCTTCTTGAACATCTCGGCCGTGCACACCGCGACGCGTACCGCTGTAAATTCGCTCGGCGCACCTCTGAGATGCCATGGTGGTCGCCATGTGCTCACCTGTGCCGCTGGTGACGGTTGCAACGGAGATGCCTTCGGGATCGCTTGGATCGCTGGGAACAACGGCAGTGCCAATGCCCACCAAAGCGGCCGGACCAAGCCGCCCGCAGTGCTTCATGCCGATACCGCCTGACGAGGAGCCAGCGGCGATATGACCTGCATCATCAATGGCGATGGCACCAATAGTGTCAGTGATCATGTCCAGCGGCGGTGAGTCATCGTCTGCATCCTGTGGAAAGGGGAATGGTCGCTTAGAACCACGAGGGCTATTGAGGAGTCGTGTCGCTGTCTGACCAACATCCATCTGAGCTAACACTACCAAAGGTTGCGGAGATCTCCCACCATCGCGGTGTCCCCTAAGCGCGGGGTGCGAAGATGGCACAGGCGGATTTCCGGGACTGGCACCAGGGTGATGGCGTTTGGGAGAAGTTGCCGCCCCCTGCGTCGCGCCGACATAACTCAGAGGGCTCCTCTCGCCTGGTGATGGTGATACACGGGATAGACCATGGCCAGGAACTGAAGGAATCGAAAACTGGCCATGGGCTTTTTCAAGGGCCGGAGAACCGCGGTATGGTGAGTCGGGCTGGCCTTCGTTCCATGTACCAGTAAGGATTGCGTTGGCATGATCTCTTTGCTGAGAACTCCCGGTACGGGCTTGGTCGCTTGCGACATTCGATCCAGTCTCATACTGGAGGCAAGAAGCGACGTCAGTGACGGAATCACTCGCGCCTTGAGCTCGACAGGACTCATCCTGCTTCAGCTTCTCTTCCGCTCGCAGGAGATCGTCCTGCCATCGAAGGAAACGATCCCGAGCATTTTTGGAAATCAAGCTGTCATTGGGCACCGTCTGCATGCCATGCTCTGAGGCAAACCCCTTGGCTCCTGCTCCGACAAGGATGTTTGGCGGAACCCGTCTTAAAGTCAAAGGTTGGTTGCTTTTGTCGAGTATAAGCTTTGCTAAACAAATAGGATTTCGAACATCTGCAAAGGCATTAGCGATTTACCATATCAACTTGGCATAGCCTGACTTACTCGGCGCAGCTCCGCACGCACCACTTCGTCCAAGATAGTCGACAATAGTGGCATCGCACTCTACTGTTCCCTCTATGGACAGGTTGGAGCCATAGCCAGCGTTGGTGATTTCTTTGTCTTCTAGGACACGGAGAGCAGCTTCAACAGCCTCAGTAGCCGATGCACCAGATCTGAGAAACTTCATGCCCATAGTTGCTGCGCTGGGTCGTGGCGTCAGTTCGAATTCGATCAGTCCTACAAAGATTAGGGTGAAAGCTTACTCATTACAAGCTTCGAGGTGAACTCGCTCGTTCTGATGGCTGTGGAACCCGGCGCCGGCGTGGATGAATATAGCCCCCGTAAATTTGCTGCGCTGCCCTCGTCTTAAGACCCGATCTACAGTGCCATCAGTGCCTCCTGGTGGGCTTTTTAAGCTGTTGGCAGCAGTCAACTGGACTTTTCGAGGTCTTTTAACGCGTAAAGACGGCTGTTCACTCCTGGTTTCGGTGATCCGTGGCAACTCATCTTGCATACGCTCCACCGGCAGAGCGGCATTCTTGACTGGGGTTGGCGTCGGGTCGTGATGTATTGCATGTCGAAAGTGTCGGCTGTTCAAGATAGATCCGAGGAAGCTCTGTTGGAGGTCTCCTCGAGTACTAGACCGGCCCTGAACGGCTGTATCCTCAAGGATCGCTTGCTGGTCGATGGCAGGAGAGGATTCTGGAGTAGCCGTGCCGTTGATACTACAAGGCTCCTGAAACGAGTCTAAACGGCAAGACTGGTCAGCAAGCCGTGGCCGTATGCTGGAGTCGTCAGTCATCGGGTCGGTATGGTCGCAGTCTATTGTATCTCCCACAGGTCGACTGGAACTTTCGCAGCTAGAGCCGCTTTGTGATCTAATTGGCTGATGCCCGGAACCAGTCTTGACATTCGAGGCGCTATTGTCTGGGTGACTTGGCCATCTGTCCTCGACTTGCTCTGCCTGATCACTCATTATGCCAGACGGGCAAGCGTTATGTCGATAGGCTTGACGGGTGACTTGACTGGGTATGCTGCATGCAGCGGTGAGCAAGTCTAGTAGGCTTGTCTCTCTAATTAGGCTGTCTTTGCGGTGTGCAATCGTATGTTGACAACGGGCTGGTGCTGATAGTAACAGCAGCAAGGCATTCGAAAAGTCATAAACAACGTCCAATCGGTAGTTTATGACTTGCAAAACCGAAACTGAGACGTGACTTGCCCGGCATGGGACGGTCGATATAAATGAATGCAGAGTAATAAACTACTCGGAGTTGTTTTTGAGCGGGGCTGCCAATATGGATTTCGTTGTCGGACAGCCCAAGGTGGGAGAAATAATTAGAAGATATATGCGGAGGTTGTTGGACACTGGACTCCAAGAGGTGTCTCCCAGGTAGAAAGCATGCCGTACTGGCGCAGAAGGGGCTGACGCACGTATCTCAGATGACTGATTACTCTTGCCGGTTATTGAATGGCATGCAGTGCTCTGTGACAACCTTCAATCTGGGGTGCCTGGTCTACATACGTCACCCAGCCTGTTGAAAGCCAAGTGCGAGGCAGGAGGTGAAAGCCAAGGGAGGGGAGTGTCCTGCCTTGGGCGAGTAGCACGTGACGATTTGTAGCTACGTTCACTTTTTATCTTCGCCAGTTCTCAAACTCGGGGCCTCATGCAAAGACATGTGTGCCGCGGAAAGAGCCATGCCGTATAGTCCTTGTTGTTAAGCGGTAAGCTGTCGTAAATTCAAGTCAGTGGAGCCCAGGATCCAAGCATGACGGCGACAAGTTACCATGACTTTCTGAAAGTATGACAGAACGAAGACACATGCAAGGCCTATGAGCCGATTCGCGAGGGCCGATCGAGACTTGAAATTCAAGATTGGAATTACTCGTGTCCCGAGACAGACGTCACAGAAATAAACATCTCGGGATGTTTCGTTCACTTGTCGTTCTAGGCGGGAGAAACCTCACTGAAGAACCGTGTGTGGCACTTGCAGCACTGTACAACATCAGCCAATAGAGAACCTTGGCGAGCTTCCCAACCACCCACTCTGGAGACCCCACTTCTAGTCTGATGCACAGCCGCCTGGGAAGGAAGCTGGCACGGCCGGACTCCTGCTGCCTTTCGTTCGTGACGAGGCACACAACCCGATCCACACCTTGACGTCGTAATCGTGCACTTCACTTCGACACGGCTCCGACCACTTCTCCCGACCGAGGTCATCCTCTCCTTCAGGCCACGCACCAGCTAGCAATTGCGAGTGCATCTCGACATTTACAGCCATGGCCAACCAAACTCCTGCCGTTGTCATGGACAAGTAAGTCCACGCCTTGATCCTATCGCCATCCGGTGCCCCGCATTGGGCCAGGTAGACGTCGCCAGACGGAACAGCCAGAGCTAACACCCCCCTCTCAGCGGCACTGGCTTCTCGAAGCTTGGTACGACCTTCGAATTCCCACTGAATATCTCTCGAGCCCGACTTTTCTGACTTGCGCCGCAGGTTTCGCCGGCAATGACTCCCCCTCCTTCGTCTTCCCGACCGCCATCGCAACCAAAGGTCCCGCAGGCGGTAGCGGAGGCTCCGGATCTGGCCGTCCCGCCGTCGCAAACAAGCCGTCATACCTCACTGGTGGAGCGGGATCTGGTGGTCACCTCAACATGAAGCGCGGCACCGAGGACTTGGACTTCTTCATTGGCGATGCCGCTATTGCCGCGTCGCAAGGCCCAGGTCAGTGGCCTGCTGAACAATGGCCCAGCTGTGTGCTGACGAGAAGACAGGCTACGGGCTTCACTATCCCATTCGCCACGGCCAGATTGAGAACTGGGTATGTTGGAAGCTCTCTAATGGCTACATGGGCACTGACAAGGAGCAGGATCACATGGAACGATTCTGGTCCAACTCCATCTTCAAGTACCTTCGTGTTGAACCCGAAGACCACTACTTTCTCCTGACCGAGCCAGTCCGTACATTCTGAATCGTATTGTTGGGAGTTTCTGACAGCTTTACAGCCTCTGAACCCCCCCGAGAACCGCGAGAACACGGCCGAAATCTTCTTCGAGTCTTTTAACTGCGCCGGCATGTACATCGCTGTGCAGGCTGTTCTTGCGCTCGCCGCGTCTTGGACATCCTCCAAAGTGCAGGATCGTTCGCTGACCGGTACTGTCATCGACTCGGGTGACGGTGTGACCCACGTCATTCCCGTTGCCGAAGGTTATGTCATTGGATCGTCGATCAAGTCGATTCCCATCGCCGGCCGCGATATTACCTACTTCGTCCAGTCGCTTCTTCGAGACCGAGGCGAACCCGACTCGTCGCTCAAGACGGCGCAAGAAATCAAGGAGGAGCACTGCTACGTGTGCCCTGATATTGTCAAGGAGTTCTCCCGATACGATCGCGACCCTACTCGGTTCATCCAGCACCCCGTTCTCCAGGCTGGTGGTCGCAAGACCGTGGTCGATGTCGGCTATGAACGATTCCTCGCACCTGAGATCTTCTTCAACCCCGAGATTTACAGTTCCGACTTCCTGACGCCTCTGCCCACCGTTGTCGATGGCGTGATCCAGTCCTCGCCGATCGATGTTCGAAGGGGCCTGTACAAGAACATCGTCCTGTCCGGCGGCAGCACGCTGTACAAGGACTTTGGTCGCCGGTTACAGCGAGACATCAAGCAGCTGGTCGACGCGCGCATCAAGGCCAGCGAGGTGCGCAGCGGCGGTGCCAAGAGTGGCGGTCTCGACGTTCAGGTTATCACGCACAAGAGGCAAAGACACGGTCCCTGGTTCGGTGGCAGTCTACTCGGCCAGACACCCGAGTTCCGATCGTACTGCCACACCAAGGCGGAGGTAGGACATGAGAATTGGCGTGCCCCAGAAACCCGAGCTAACATCCATGGCAGTACCAAGAATACGGACCGAGCATTGTCAGGAGGTTTGCGCTGCTGGGCGGCCCTGGCGGTTCTTAGACGGTTGGTGTTTCGTGTTTATAGCAGGGGCCTATTGCAATTCTTCAAAAGCTTTTCGCATCTCACTCTTCGTCCTCGAGGTGGCATGAATCTAGCGTGTCTTTGTGATGATGGTTGTCGAAGGTACTAATGAGGACGACAGATGATGACGGTTGTTGAAGCGGAAAGCAGGGATCTGGGCTGCGAGGAGGTAGGTCGGTAAGCGTCAGCTGCGGTTTCGTTCCGTAGCCAAATTGTCAGGCCCTGCGCAGATGTGAAGGGGCGTCAGTCCTCATACCTCCGTCCGACACCTTGACTTCCGCTCGCCCATGAATATCCCTGTTGCTGTCGTCGGATGTGCGGCTGACGACGAGGCTGCTTGGGTGCAGTGCTCGGCACAGGGCGAGCTACCCCCGCCTCAGGTGTGACAGGATGAGCAGGGGAACCGCTGGTGCATTTGAGATTGATAGTATACTACCATCAGGCGAGATCGCCTAGAGGCATGCTATTCAAAGGATTGTGGGGTAGGAAGATCCGGGGTGTGGTGTCGAGTAGCGCCATTCCCGCATCACAAGGCTTGAAGGGCATTGTGGCCCGAAGGAGGGTTCCCTTCGAGCGAGACAAGCAACGGGAGCGAGCGTTGGCGAGGTAGCTGCTGCAGACGTGGGGAGAATCTGGGGGCTGGCATGGCCGATTGGCGGGGGCTTTGGGGTGGCCTTGAAGGATCAGATGAAGCTATCTTGGTGCTGAGGAACAACGGGCAAGGCCAGAGGGGAGACACTCTTGCTCTGAGTCAGCTACCCCTCATGAGACTGATTCGTCACGATCTCGTGGAAGATCGAGCTGGTCAAATGCGTCGTGGGGTCCTGCACGTTTACCACGGACGGACGGGACGTGAATGATTGGTGTTGGGGCAAGGAGTGTGAGGCCATACGAGTGGGCAATGGGACGATTTTCTGTAACGTCCTGAGCTGCATGCCAGGGTGGGCGTGCGGTACGCTCTCGTTGTGTTGTGTTCGAAGTCGTTTTTGAGAAGCATCCTCTAGGGACAGCCCAGGGATCAAGCACCATGACCGACGGCGTCAAAAGCTTGGCTGTCGGGCATCGAGCTGATCAAGTTTCGTAATTCTAGTCATTGGGTGCTGTACTTTTGCTCACATCGAGACCTCGTGTGGTGTACCTAGCTACCTGCCACAGCCCAGACGCAGACCTATTCCGGTAATAGTGCCACGCCATAGATCCACTGTAGCTCCCGGCAGGGCGGGGAGCAGGCAGCTCACGAATCCATCGTTGGGTCAACATCATCTGATCCGATTCTGTCCCGGCGAAGCCGTGCAAGCCTCGCTGTGACTCTTGTTTCTTGTAGACTTACCCTTCATCAGCACTTGTAGATAAGAGCCGAGGCCTCTGATGCGCCGTGCCCGAAGCAATGGACTCGCATCCGATAAGCCGACCGCCACAATCGCCTGTACCGTTGCTGGCGACAGCAGGCAGCTTCCGCAACCAGCACCATCCAACAGGCCGGCCGGGGGTTCCACCGCATCCACCAACCCTCACCCCGATATGCTGCCTCAACGTGGACCTTCTCCAGCCCATCGCATTCTGCTAGCCCAGCACCATGCTTGCGTCACCGGGATGTCTCAGCGTCATGCGAATCGCCTAGGCCGCTGTCCACTTGCGCCGTTCGCCAGCTCCCGCTGACGGAGCGGGGTAGACCGAACGCCTTCGAAGCAAGTGCGTCTGCTATGGTGCGCTTGGATGGCCAGATGGCAAGGTTTGGGGCCGATGTGACGGCGTGTTCGAAAGCGAGATGGAAGCTCCCGGGAAAGGCATTGTCAACTTGCCGGGTGTGGCTTTCCTTGTCGACAATGGCTCTGGAGGAAAGGAGCCTGCAGGTTTATTGATTCGATAGGGTCTCTTGTCACTACGACCAATGGTCTTCTTGGGTTATCAGCTTGTTCCAATCATGGTTCTAGGTCCGTTCACTCGGTTTGTTCTACCAACACTGCTTGCACCTCTACTCTGAAAGGTATCCTGCTACAAGCCTGGCACTAGGTCAGGGGTGATATAGGCCAAGCTTTCTAAATATCATCTCTTTTTCGAAAGTCATAGCCATGCTCTTGGTCACTATTTACTTCCGCGCTTGGAACTGAGAGCAAGGTTTGGTAGGAGACTGGAAGGCACTGCGCTGGTGGTTCCAACATGTCTGGGGGATGAACGTGCTTTGGGCACACCTTGAACTCACTAACAACACCGTAAAGATTGGGGGATGATGTTCGTTACTAGTCGTACTTGCGATTTTCATTCATTCTGGTAGTCCATTCCATCCCGTGCACGTGAAGCGTGGGACAACCAACCCTAAGCACCCTGATGGTCAACCAGCCCAGTAGAGCAGTGGTCTTGTGCGAAAGACATGGGTGTTTCTCGAAGAATAACACATAGACAAGATGCCTACAATCTTACCACACCATATCTGGCCCTCCGTTACTTGCTTTTTCTTCCTCGTGTGAAATTTATCCTTGTAAATCGGGCCAACAAGGAAACCCACCGACACGCTGTATCGTCACTTATGGCTCGTCTTGAGCACGACCCTGCGACGTCCTGTACCCCTTCACGTGATGACCTTTCCATTATACAATTGAACAGTAAGCTCCACTGGCAAGCCAGATTTGATAATGTATTCACACCCTCCAGGCAACACCGACAACGACACGAGACAAGTCGAGACAGTGGCAGCTGACGTGCAAGAGGCGACGACTTCATACCATGCATCTGACCTCGACCATCGAATGCAGTCGCAGCTCAACTATCGCCTCGAATGCATCCTTGAACGAGTAATACGCCCAACATGTACGGCTCTGTGTACTATCCCCGCCAACGTGGTGTGAACGTCAGCCGGCTACTGTTGCCCCAGGTCCTGTCAGAATCCCATGACCTCGGTACGTCGCCCAGCCTCACGCCAGGCACAACGGCCATGATGCCATGAAGCCCATGGAAGCCTCAGAGAAATCGTCATTGGTTCCGACCGGGAACGAAACAGAACCAAACATACAAGAGACTTGTGGTGTCGGATCTCTGCCTCCCACATTTCGCCGATGGCTCCCTTGTCCCTAGTGTCGATCGCGACAGGCCGAGCGCTTCTGCGGCTCCATTGTCCGGGCGCCCTGGACCCGAGCGCCTTACCCTTTTCCCCAGAGCTCATGTCTCACGCGCAGCCGCAGCAGCACCAGCAGCAGCAGAGCCTTTCCTCGATTGAGGGGTAGCGGCTATCGGGCAGAAGGGACAAGGACGACGGATTCGGGTCGTGCTGTACGCATGAGCTACCTTGGGGGGCGCAACTCAAGCGGGGCAGGGCGCCGCAGTAGCTCGAACCCGGCTCGCGTTCGCTGCCGCCGATCATTGGCCCGCCGGCATCGTACGTTTTTGTCTCCAGTTCCCGACAGGAGCTCTCTCGGGGTTATCGAGGCATCATGATGAAGCAGTCTCACCACTTCGGTTGGGGTAGCTCCTCGCGCTGGTCACTGCCCACCATGACTTGGGCCAGCGCCGCCCATCCGTGAACGGGGCGTGTGTGTGTGTGTGTGGGCTGACGGATTGAGCATGGCGTTTCTATATAAGAACGTGTGCCTGGTGCTTTCTACTTCGAATGGGAAGCTTTCCAAAACCAACGGACGCTCTCCCCCCTCACAGCTTCTCAGAACATTTCTCGAGTACATCTGACGCTGTACCGAGCTCATTACATCACTGTACCAACATTGCGACGTCTCCATCTCGTCCCCTCACATCCACATCCCCACCCAACATGGGCGCAGACATTCCCTCGGAGCAGTGGGCTCAGGTCATTGAGAAGACCGGTGGTCGTACGTCCCTACCTCTCTCTCTCTCTTTCTGCTCACTCCCTCCTTTCGCAGATATCGTGTACTGACGAGCCACAGCCGTGGTCTACAAGAAAATCCCCGTCCAGAAGCCCGGTCCCGATGAAGTGCTCGTCAACATCAAGTACTCGGGCGTCTGCCACACGGACCTGCACGCCATGATGGGCGACTGGCCCCTCGACACGAAGCTGCCGCTGGTCGGTGGCCACGAGGGCGCCGGCATCGTCGTCGCGCGCGGCGAGCTCGTCAGCGAGGTCGAGATTGGCGACCACGCCGGCGTCAAGTGGCTCAACGGATCCTGCCTCGCGTGCCCGCACTGCCTCAACGCCGACGAGCCGCTGTGCCCCAAGGCGCTGCTCTCGGGCTACACGGTCGACGGCTCGTTCCAGCAGTACGCCATCGCCAAGGCGGCGCACGTGGCGCGCATCCCCAAGGAGTGCGACCTCGAGGCCGTCGCGCCCGTGCTCTGCGCAGGCATCACCGTCTACAAGGGCCTCAAGGAGTCGGGCGCGCGCCCGGGCCAGTCGGTCGCCATTGTCGGCGCCGGCGGCGGCCTCGGCTCGCTGGCGCTGCAGTACGCCAAGGCCATGGGCCTCAAGTCGATCGCCATTGACGGCGGCGCCGAGAAGGGCAAGATGTGTGCCGAGCTCGGCGCCGAGACGTACGTCGACTTCACGTCGAGCAAGAACCTCGTCGACGAGGTCAAGGCCGCGACCCCTGACGGCCTCGGCCCCCACGCCGTCCTGCTCGTCGCCGTCTCCGAGAAGCCCTTCCAGCAGGCGAGCGAGTACGTCCGCAGCCGCGGCACCGTCGTCTGCATCGGTCTGCCGGCCAACGCCTACCTCAAGGCGCCCGTCTTCGACACAGTCATTCGCATGATCACCATTCGCGGCAGCTATGTCGGCAACCGCGCCGACACGGCCGAGGCGCTCGACTTCTTCCGCCGCGGGCTCATCAAGGCGCCGTTCAAGACGGTGGGCATGAGCAAGCTGCAGGAAGTGTTCCACCTGATGCAGGAGGGCAAGATTGCGGGTCGCTACGTCATTGACACGAGCAAATAGTTTTTTCTCTGGGGAACGCGATGGAACATGGGTGAATGGACGGCGTGGAGTTGAGGCGAGCGAGGCGAGCGAGTCGACCGGTTTGTGGGCGGGTCGGTCCCTGACGTTGTCATGATCAAAATTGAACTTGCACTTTGTTACGAAGATGATTTCATGATGAGTCGTGACCATGTGAACCAGCGAGCGACGAGCGCGGCCAAAGCATCTTCTCACAAGGTACTTGCCCTGCTGGCGGGGGGTCGTGGACACAGACACATCCCGGCTGTGGGTGTGCGGTCGAAGTGCCGCGCAAGCTTCCCCGCGCGGCATGTCGATCTCATGTCGGCAGCAAGACGTCACGATAATGTTGATGCTACCTAAGCTGATGCTTCAATCAAAAGACCAGTTCGAAGTCGACGTGACATCGTTGCGTTGGTACATCGCAGGCGTGCGATCTCGGCCTCGTCGCTCGATCCTTCGCATCTGTGCTCTGGTCACTGATCGATGGTCTCCGAAATCACCAAGTCATCAGCTGCTGGCATTGCGCTGACCACAGTTGTCCGCCGAGTGTTGCGCTCGCAGTGTCGTCTACACACAATGTAGAATGCCTGTCGTAACAATAACCATGGCCAAGTCATTGTTGATTGAGTCCGGGTTTTCTTGATTTTCTACAGATGATCTGTTCAACCATATTTCGAAATGAGCTTCTTCATAATGGACATGGCCCCCCCACGGTAGCCCCCGCCGAACATGGCATAGTGATTAAGATGATGGTATCTGTTCTTCGTCAGCAGACGTAGACACGACCACGGTAGGCAGGTAAACTCACAGTTCGTACAACTTGACGCGATCTTCCCATTCGGCCTTTGGCTCCGCCTTGGGCACAAGCTCCTCATACTCGTTCCAAAATGCGCCGCCAAACCCGCCAAACATGCGCATGATGCCCAGTTCGTATTCAGAGTGCCCATAGACGGCACTCGCATCAAAGACGACCTCCTCGGCGCGTCCCTGCCCATCGATCCGTCCCGTGCCGTGGTTCCCGCTCCAGAGATCGCCATGCACGACAACGGGCGTGATGGGCCCGATCGTCTTCTCGCCCACCAGCCGCGGCGTGACGACGCCAGCAACCTTCTCCACAGCCTCCTCGAGCTCGGCGTCGGCCCCGTTGGCCTTGACACCCGCGCGGCAGATGGCCCGCAGCCTGTTCTCGGCGTAAAAGTCCGCCCATGACGTCTTGAACGTGTTGTGCTGCGGCGTGGCGCCGCAGCACGTCGTCACGGGGAAGCCGAAAACAGGGGCGTCAAACCCATCCGGCGTCGGCGCCGGCGTCGTGTGCAGCTTTGCGAGCTTGGCCGCCAGGGACAGTCCTGAACTTGCAATGGACTGGGAGGCGCCGAGGTCGAGAAAGTCGGTAGCGAGGAAGAAGCGGTCAGGGCTGTTGGCGAGGGCGCCGTGGGCGTGGGCGCGCGGGCAGAAGCTGGGGACAGCGGCGGCGATGGCGTTCAGGGAGGCGTGCTCGCCGCGGAACATGACCTCTGAGGCGGTGCCTGTGCCGGTCTTGACGAAGTAGCGTTTCGGCTTGCCATTAAGTGTCGAGGTCAGCTTGAAGGTGGAGGAGAAGCCGGAGCCGCCGTGGGAGGTTATCTTGGTGTGCTCGGGGGTGAGGCCGAGGGCTTCGATGATGGCGGGGTCGACGTCTGGCATGGCGGTGGTGGTGATGATAATTTTGTTGGGAATTTGGCTTGGATGCAGTATGATAAACACCCAAGTTGACGTGTCTGTCTTTCTACATGGTAGACTTTTCAGTTAGTCATTCAACACACGATGTGCAGCTCAGGGCAGGCGACAGATCCGTGGATGGCGGAAGGCGGAAGGCAGAAGGCATGATGAGATGCGACGCCGAAGTGACGTCATGGCAATTGGTGCATGACAGGAAAAGGTGGACACGGGAGTGTAGAATGGCAACGAGGACGCTTTACAGATCTCTCCGTGACAGAATATTGGTACTTTTTCTCTTGCGTCTATGGGTATCTGAAAATAGAAGAAAGAAATATACATGATGACAGGATGCTCAAAAAAGGTCGTCTGAATAACGTTTGCCCCACGACAGCTGGCCGGGGGGTTGGTCCGTTCGCGCAACACACGCTACAGGGATCTCGAGGCCCCCAAGCCCACCCCCGAGACCTCCCAAGGGCCCTGAAGAATTTCGTTTCTCCGGGAGACGGTTCCCGGTGCTGAACAACTCACAACCGATAGCCGGAAAGAGACCACATCTCCGGAAATCCATGCCGACCGAATCCAGGCTCTGTAGCAGGATGACAGGCGGCCAGGTCAATGACCTGCGGCTGAATGGCAAGCGTCCCCAAAATCCCAAGGCCTGGACCCAGCCGCCATCCCCGCGTGTCCCCTGACAAGCGCCCCCCCAAAAACTTGTGTGACTTGGGGAACGGGAAGCGTGGCATGTCCCCTTCAGCTGATTCTCGCCGGCGATCCCCATCACCGGCCATCCTTCCCAATCTCGAGGGCGCCCAGCTCAGATAGCCGCAGACTTCCCGACGACCCAAAGGCACTGCAACCCAAGCCTTTTTTGTCCCTGATCTGCCTTGCTTTCATCCCTGCCGTATGCATGAGCCAGAGACTCGGCGGAGACCTCGTGATGGCGTGTGAACCCGCAAAATAAACGCAAAACCAAAGAGAGGCACCGCCGCCGCCAGTCCACCTCTTGAACCCCTCCCCCCGCCAAACCCCAGACCCCCCAGACGCCTAGCCTTGGCCATCCGCCAGCCCACCCTTGCGTGTGGGGGTGGTGGAAGAAAAAGGGCCCAACAACAGACGGGCGAAGGGGGGTTTCTCGCAATCCATCTCGACCAGCGCCTTCCTTCTGGGGAAAGGCCCGGTCGACCGGCTCGACAATGCCAAGCCAAACCCCTCCCCCTCCATGAATCTCTCACTGCCTCAGAGAAACGAGGCGCGCCCTTTTCCTGCGGCACGCACCCGGCTCTTTGTCGTTTCTGTTGTCCAAACGGTAAAGGCGCTGTTTTGTCGTGTGTCTTACACCGCCTCCCTGGCCGCGAAGGATCCGTACCCCGCCAGCGACAGCTCGTCGCTCTGCCTGGGCATCTGCGAATGCAGGCTTGTCGTCGAGTGGCCGTCTTGGAAGAGGGGCTCGAGGTCGGAGGGTATCGCCTTGCGCAGCAGCGACTTGCGGAGCACGTTGCGCGTCACGGTCGACGACGATGACGACGACGTGGACGAGTTTGTCGATGCCGGCGAGAGCGATGGCCTCGTCGCCGGGGCGGCGGCGGCCTGGCGGCGCTCGCGCGAGGGCACCATGGGGACGGGAGGAGCGCGGCTCGCATTGTGAGGATTGCCGTTGAAGCAGTCGGTGCAGGGGCACATGGCCGACTTGTTGGCTGCGGGGGGCGGGGTGCAGTGGCGCTTCCACCAGCTCTGGGGCTTCTCGCTTTCGTTGGCGTACATGGTGGTGATGTGTTGAGTGTATCGTTGAGCTGAAGGTTCAGAGGTCGAGGTCGGATAGTAGTGATGACTACCATTCAAAGAAAGACAGGTACGCTTCGACAACGGCTGCAGGGCAAGGACGAACGACTGGGAAGGTTCAAAAGCTGCCACACATTTTAGGGAGAGGGGGGGTTCCAGGCTTTTATGTACTCTCGCGCCTTGCATCCCAGACACCACACCTTTTCAAACAACCAAGGTAATTCCTCTGGTCTTGGGTCAGGGTCTGGATCTTGGCCCGGGACATGGCTCCGGGCATTGAGCTCCGACGCGGGCGTTGGAGTAGGGGGGGGGGGGGTTTTGTGGCTGCATGTACAGGTGGGACCCCTTGTCGCCGGCAACCAAATCCACATGTGTGCCCGCCGACTGGCACATGTCCCAAGACCACTAGATCTGGATTAAGGGATCTCAGCCCAGAAGAAGCGCTGAATCAAAACGTCTTGCCGTTCATTGGTGCATCAGAGAAGGGGTGCGATAAGCCACTGGACGCCGCCCACGACTCTAATCGCCAAGCTCTAAGCCCGTCCGATGCATACCTTATCTCACAAAGAACTGCCAACGAGTACCAGGCAGAAAGAGAAAGCACAATCACAAAAAGAGAAAAAAAAAGTTTCCATTCGAGATGGGCTCGGAGATCGAGCTTGAGGAATACGTACCAAACAATCCTTGTTCGTCATTTGCGGCCGGCGCCCGGGTTTGGCTCGGAGAAGACTCGCGGTCCACCACACCGCCCGTGTGTAAAATGGGGCACTCAGGGTCGTGATCGCGCCTTCACCGGCGTTTTCTTCTCGGGCAACTGTGGGCCCTCGCCTCATTGCAGGTTCATATTGAACGATCCTGTCTGATCATGGCGCTGTTCAGGGCGACCAGTGCTTGGTTCGCTGCCAGACTGATGTGACACTGAGAAAGTGTTGCCCAATACTGAATAAGGTACCTTGGGTAAGGTGCCCAGAGAAAGTGCCTGTCCTCCATACAGACCGATATACAAACGTTATGCATCTCACCGCCATACTACGACCATGGTTGCAAAGACTGATGAAAGAAAAAAGAATGAGACAAAATCTAGAGGCGAATCCTATCCACGCCGTCGACACATCATCGTCCCCACCAGCCACATCCCGAGCCAATTCTAGACATCGTCGTGCCAAGCTCGGCATCGGCGTCCCACCCGCTAAGACTTCTGGTAACGGCCTCCCGCATGAATGCGCTATTCCCGTGGCCAGGCACCAGGGGTCATGCATTCTTTAAGACCACAGACGTCAGTCCTCTTGAGCCTCAACAGCCTCCTTGTGGGGCGGCATCCAACGACGTCCCCTTCATCCGGGCGATGGAGACGGTTGCATAGCCGTAGGTTGGGCCGAGAGAGGTGGGTAGGGTGAGCCGGCATGGTGTTGAGACTGCCCAGTCAGTAGACAAAAACTTTACGTGTGTAGAATTCTGGTTTATGGCCGATTTTTCTGTGCCTTGCTTGGCTTTTCTTGCATCTCGTCAAGACATTGTTCCGTCGTCGTGGCCAGCTACCAAGACTACTTTACCCAACGTACTGTGATCCAAACGCTGTTCGGACAGCAGGGGTTCGAGGGTGTGTTTCTATCACGATCTGCTTTGCTGGAGGCCGCTCCTTGTACACAACGCAAGGATGACCGACCACCAGGAACCATCATCTCATCTTGTATCTTGGGTGCTCGGTGTCTAGACATGCCAGTTGGTCGTGCTTCGAAGACACACTGATCCGTTAACACAGTCGTGATAACGGGAGCGCATTGTCGGGAACAGAAGGAACCAACAGACAACAAGACCCCGTTCGATTCCTTCAAAACTAAACAAGCCGCCGTCAACCATCCCTTGGTCATTCCCTCTGATAGTTCAGTTTTTTTGGCGTCTTGCCGAAATTCATCAAAACTGCCTTGTCAATCACGCAGTATTCCCCAGGCGCGCGGTGTTCCGTCCAGATCTATCAACATGACCATGCCGCCTCACGTCCACCTCAGCTCCTTCATATCAGTATCGTGCGACGAAGACATGTTCACCCTGCCGCCGCGACTCAACATCATCCCAGCTGTCTCCCGGAACCCCTTCAGCACAGCTTATTATCGTGCCCAGGAGCTCGCTTTCGAGCAGGAGGATGCTCCCTACCGCACCTACCAGCTCGCGTGCTACACCGCGCGACCGCCTCGGCCGCCGACCACCCGGCATGCTGTCGCCGCCACCACGAGGCAACGACTCGCGCCGAAGAGAGGGAACGGAAGATCGCCTTGGCGCGCCGTGACTCTGGTTCTGCGGCTTTTGCTGGGCTTGCCCTTTGCAAGCTGGATAATGGTCTCGAGAGCTGGAGCTGAACTCGGCTGCTATGTCCTCCGCACGGCCGATAATTTGCGCTTCTGGTATAGACTCCATGTGCACGCCTCGTGGCTCGCATATCGACCTACGCGGGGGTCCCTGCTCGGCTCGACCGTGAAGGCGGCTTGCGCTGCAATGCTATTGCATCATGTATACTGTAAGTTGGCCGACGCAGATGATGGGCCGCGATACGTGCTAGTGCACGAATGCCGCATATGGTCGGGGCCGTTCAAAGCATGACCAAGTTAAGCGCATGAAGTTCGGCCAGGCAAAAGAAGACGAGCACAGGGAGAGAGTTGCACGCACTTGAACAACTGGACAGACTTGCGGAACGATGAAAACTGGATTGGCTCCTCACTCGCGGATAACGCGCGCGAATGACGATGCTATGACACAAATTGCCCTCTATAACCGCGACCGAACCGACCTTTCCCCTATCGCACACGTCATGAGGAACCTGCCGCCAAATTAATACACAAGAGGTGTTTTCCGCGCTGGGAAAAAAAAGACCACGCTAGGGTTTAGATACCCAGGGTGAACTCGACGCCGACGTCGCTCTCACGGGCTGTGACAGGGTCAGTAAATGTAGTCATCGCAGTAGTAGGGTCAACAAGTCTACTCACCCAGCTTGACAACCTTGGACAGCTGGACAGCCTTCTCGGCGGCAGTCTGGAGCTCGTCGATGGCGAAGATCTTCATGCCAGAGTCGGCAATGATCTTCTGGGCAGCCTCCATGTTGGTGCCCTGGAGACGAGCAATAATGGGGATCTTGAGGTCGAGGGCCTGGACGGTGTTGATCAGACCGGTGGCGATGTGGTCGCAGCGGACGATACCACCGAAGATGTTGACGAAGATGGCAGAGACCTTGGCGTCGCTGGTGATGAGCTCAAAGGCCTCCTTGATGGCCTGGGGGGTGGCACCGCCACCGACGTCGAGGAAGTTGGCAGGGGCACCGCCGTTCAGCTTGATGATGTCCATGGTGGCCATGGCAAGACCGGCACCGTTGACGAGGCAGCCAATGTCACCGTCAAGCTTGATGAAGTTCAGGCCGGACTTGGCGGCGCGGACCTCGTCGGCGTCCTCCTGGGTGGTATCGCGCCACTCGAAGACATCCTTCTGGCGGTAGTCGGCGTTGTCATCGAAGCCGAACTTGGCATCCATGCACATGACCTTGTGGTCGGAGGTCTCGGACAGAGGGTTGATCTCAATCTGGGTAGAGTCCTTCTCGGTGAAGATCTTGTACAGCTTCTGGATGGTGTCCTTGGCATCCTCGACGCACTGCTCGCTGAAGCCAAGCTTGACAGCAATGTCGCGGGCGATCTCGTCGGTGACACCCTTGTTGATGTCAATGTAGGTGGTGTTGATGGCCTCGGGGCTGTCCTTGGCGACGGCCTCAATGTCCATGCCGCCCTGCGACGAGGACACGATGACGGGAGTCTGGGAAGCACGGTCCATCAGGATGGCGAGGTAGAACTCGCGACGGGCGAACTTGCGCTCGCAGATGTAGACGGCGTTGCAGAGACGGCCGCCGGCGCCGGTCTGCTTGGTAACGAGCTTGTGGCCAATCATCTGGTCGGCGAACATCTCCGCCTCGTGGGGAGAGTAGATGACACGGACGCCGCCCTTCAGGCCGTTGTCGAAGGTGCCCTTGCCACGACCACCGGCGAGAACCTGGGCCTTGATGACCATGTCCTCTCCGCCAATCTCCTTCGCGATGGCCTTGGCCTCGGCAGCGGTCTTCGCGACGGAACCCTTGGGGACGTCGATGCCATACTGGACGCGCGAGATAAATTAGCCCAAAAGTCGTTTCAAGGGGTAGAGAAAGGGGCGGGATTCTTACCTGGCGCAGGAGGTCGGCAGAAAGATACTCGTGGATGCTCAGGTTTCTCCTTTGCTGCTGGGCGAAGCTGGGGAGTCTGGCGGAGGGAGAGGTGGCAAGCTGATGATTCTGGTTAGAGCTCCTGAATGTTTGGTCGCCAGGAGGCAGCGTATGCGGCTCACCTTGGCAGGCTTGAAGGCCGAAGCCAGAGCCCGGTTGCGACCGAACTTGAACATGATGACGACAAGCTGCGCTCGTGCAATTGATGGCAGAGAGGAAAGGTGAAAAGGAGTGGAGAGTGGGGAGTGTTGATGACAACAAAAGGGGACGATCGGGTCGTTTGTGCAACGGTTTTCGCGAAGCTATCGAGAACTCTCTAACAGCAAAGCTGGGATTGGCTGGGGCCGGGCACCCGCGGTATTTCCCGATGTCCCGACTCGACCGACCTGGGCCTGCTTTGACCACCTCGGAAGCCGAATCTTCCGTCGGCGGTTTCGTCTCCTTACCGATGGCATTCACCGAAGCCATGTTCCACACCGAGGCCTCACTTCGGTGTGCCCCTCAGCATGTCTCCCCCGCCATCTTCCCCGCCTTTACTCCCCTGTACCTCGTCAAAGTACCAAGTTAGGTACAGTGAGGTGATGATGATCTGGGGGCCGAAAGATCTTGGTGTTGATCTTGCACAGGTCAGGTCAAACAGTCCTGCACCTGCCTGACGCTAGCCCCAATCACATGTTGGTCGCTCCTTCAGTCGAAACGAAACACGCTCTTTCCCCCAACCCTCCTGTCCGTGCCGCATGAGCTAGTTGAATGGTGCCGCGGTTCTGTTGCACTCTTCATCATGTGCTTAAACCTGAATGAGCCCGCCGGTGTGGTCATAAGGAGGATGAGGTCGCATTTGGGATCCTATGGGCAAGGGACACATTTTTCCCTGCCTTTTCAGTGAGACGTCTGTTCGTCTGTCTGTCCGTCTCTGACCATCAACCAATCCGGCCCTATGAGTGGCTGCGAAATCTTGTCACAAGATGTCCTTCTTTGAACAAGTCCTGTCTCACCCGGGCCTCGTGCTGCTCGGGTTCCTCGCGCTGGCGACGCTTGTGGTCGCAGGGTTCAGAATCCGCACTGAAGTTTGTGTGCGTCGCCTGGGCGGCGTGCGCGCTCCCATCATCGCGAGTAATCCAGTGACAGGTGAATTATTCAGCGCAAATCCTCACCGTGACAATGACCTGATATTTTTTTGGTAGCATTATCCGTCTTTGTCAACCTTGGCCGGGCTCAGGCCAAGCACAAGCTGCCCGAACTGTTTACTTCACTGTGTAACAGTGCCACACCTGGCAAGGCGCGTTGCGTTGAGATCACTTTCTTCGGCCGTCATCGCTTTATCTTGACTAATGAACCGGAACATATCAAGACCATCTTGACATCCAAGTTTGTCGACTTTGGTAAGGGACCGGTCTTTCATGAAGGCTGGGCCCCTTTCTTGGGCGACAGCATCTTCACCACCGATGGCAAGGTTTGGCAAGATAACAGAAGTCTGATTCGACCCATGTTCGTCAGAGACCGAGTTCGGGACCTTGCCATCTTCGAACGTTGGACAGATAAAATGGTCTCCAAACTTCCGGCTTCCGGCATGACCGTCGATGTCATGGACCTCTTCTACCGCTTGACACTTGATGTCACGACAGATTTCTTGCTAGGAACCAGTGTAAACAGCCTTGACAAGTAAGATGAATAGCTGTGGTCTCGAGGTGCTTTGTCACTAATTTATCGTTAGCCACAAACACCACTTCGCTGAAGCCTTCAACGAAGTCCAACGCATGCAGATGATTTATACCATCTTGTCGTAGGTTCTAGCTCCATTGCGTCTTCCCTATGATTAGTGCTTACAACATCCACGTAGACCTTTCCGCTCCCTTCTTCCCAAAGGCTCATACAACGAGGGTATCAAAACCATCGAGCAATTCATCATGCCCTTCATCGAGCAGGCTCTCGCGCTCCCCATCGAAGAACTTGACAAGATTTCGCGCTCTGACAAGACCTTCACCTTCCTTCACGCCATCGCCCGCGCAACTCGAGACCGCAAAATCATCCGGGACCAGCTGATCGCCGTACTCCTGGCTGGCCGTGACACAACGGCAGCAACACTGTCATGGACCATCTACCAACTGGCGCGCGCTCCCAAAGTCGTCGCTAAGCTTCGATCGGAGATTCTGACAACCGTCGGGCCCTCGCAATCGCCCTCGTACGAGAACCTCAAAAACATGCCGTACTTAACACATTGCCTTAACGAGACACTCCGCCTCTACCCAGCCGTTCCCTTCAATGTCCGGACCGCTCTGCAAGACTCATCACTACCTGGAGGGCCCGGCCAGCCCGACATCATCGTTCTGAAGGGCGATGCAGTGACCTACAGCCCGTATGTTATGCAAAGGCGTCATAACCTCTACCCGCCTGTGGGCCCGGACTTCGCGGACCCCCAAGTGTATAGCCCCGAGAGGTGGCAGAAGTGGACGCCTCGACCATGGCAATACGTGCCTTTCAATGGAGGCCCGAGAATCTGCGTAGGACAAAATTTTGCCATGACAGAGATGGCGTTCTGCCGTGAGTTCAGCCGCAGCTACTATTCGCAACTGTTGAACTGCCAGCGCTAACCCCCTGCAGTGGTCAGATTGTTCCAGAGATACCAGAGACTTGAGTATCGTGGTGATTGGGAAGGACAGTTCCTCAAGGCCGATATTGTGGGGGCTCCAGGACATGGAGTGCCCGTAGCGTTCTTTGAAGACGCGGAGATCAAAGCTTGATACTAATATGCGCAGTCTTTCGATGTAGTAGTGGTGGAGCAAATGCACCCTTGCTGTCGTGCATTCTTGGCGAGACATTGCGAATGGAGCGAGCTCAGTACGAGGCGGATCCCCCATGCAAGGGCTTGTAAATGTCACAAGATAATGATCAAATATCATGTTGGACCTATACACCTATTTTAGCCTTTATCTCTCTTTTTTGAGTCTGTATCCATCAAAAACCGTCATTCATCTTCACGGTCCTTGTACCATATCCACAGTGGTCACGTGATCTAGTCAGCCACCTTCACGTGTATTTCGAGCTGAGCCACAAGGAGATCGCTAATGACCAAGTAATTTGGTCACCAGACAAGGGTCCGACTTGAACTGACGACAATACCTTGTTCCAAGGTCCGGGCCACATTGCGCGAATCTCCAGATCCCTGGCATGTACCGATTCACAACTCTTTCATGAACCAACTTTGAGGATCTTGCGCAATGAACGGTCACTTTGCTTCGGTTGGCGCTGAGCCGGGCGCTCAGGATTATGAGCATGGCGTCCAGGTCATCGACGATCAAAAGGAGTTCAAGTACGCCATCCCCTGAACCTACATCCCCGCGCGCAAGCAGCGGCCAGCTGCGCGAAGCTCTCGATGCTGACGTCCATGCCACAGCTCCCAGCTCAATGACTACCTACGGCAGGTTCACACTGCCGAGTCGGGTTTCAACTACCACATCATTTCCGTCTTTGGTTCGCAATCGACGGGCAAGTCGACCCTCCTGAACAACCTATTCGGCACCCACTTCTCTGTCATGTCCGAGTCAGAGCGCCGCCAGACCACCAAGGGTATCTGGATGTCGAAGAATAAGAAGGAAACCGGCATGGCAGAGAACATTCTTGTGATGGACGTCGAGGGTACCGATGGCCGCGAGCGCGGCGAAGACCAGGACTTCGAGAGAAAGAGCGCCCTGTTTGCGCTTGCGACTAGCGAAGTCCTGATTGTCAACATTTGGGAGACCCAAGTTGGTCTTTACAACGGAGCCAACATGGGCCTTCTCAAGACTGTTTTTGAGGTCAACCTCCAGCTCTTCCTCAAGGACAAGCAGTAAGTGGACGTATGGCCTTCTACGATGGGTGTCGTGACTGACTCGACCCCAGATCGAACCTCCGATCTCTCCTCTTCTTCGTCATCCGCGACCACCTGGGAGTTACCCCTCTGTCAGCCCTGCGCAACACCCTGATCCAAGATCTGTCGAAGATCTGGTCGTCCATATCCAAGCCCCAGGGCCTTGAAAACTCCCGCATCGAAGACTATTTCGATTTCGGCTTCGCTGCTCTCCCGCACAAGATCCTCCAGGCCGACAAGTTCGTTACCGAGGTCCAGAACCTGGGAACCCGGTTCACTGCTGGACACCGCAAGGGCACCGGCGACGAAGAGTTCGACGGCGGCGTCTTCCTCCCCGAGTACCACCGACGCATCCCCGCCGACGGCTTCTCGATCTACGCTGAGGGTATCTGGGACCAGATTGTCAACAACAAGGATCTCGATCTGCCTACGCAACAGGAGCTGCTCGCTCAATTCCGATGCGACGAGATTTCCAGAGAAGTCCTCATCGGCTTCGATGAAGCCATCGGGCCGCTCGAGGAGAAGCAAGCGGATGCGACGCGCAATGGGAAAACGGCTGTGCTCGCGCTCCTCGGCGAGACTGGCAGCGGCGCACGGGACAAATGCCTGAGGGCGTTCGAGGTCCAAGCCAGCAGGTACCACAAGGGTGTCTACACGAGGAAACGACAGGACCTGGAGAGCAAGATCGACGCGCGCCTCAAGTCTTTGTTCATGGCCCACCTCACGGCGGCGCACAAGTCTGGCATTGATTCTTTCAGCAACGCCGTGTCGACGGCTGTCAAGGCTGGTCAAAAGTCCGGTGCAGCTTACGAGTTTGCGGAAATTGTCACTGAAGAAAAGGCCAAGACACTCGAATTCTTCAAGAAGGAGGCACAGAGTCTTGCGATCCAAGGCGTTCCTTGGACCAACTTCAAGCCGCAGTACATGCTCTACGAGAAGGAGCTTGACGAGGTCAGCAGTAAATTGCGCAAGGAGGAGATGCGCCGCTTGGCCACGCGGGTCGAGCGCTGGGTCAAGTCGCGACTCGGAGAAGCGGTTGGCGTCGAATTCAACAAGCTCGGCTCCGGGCGTGCTGGTTCGGGCGCCCCTGAAGAAGGAGACAAGCCTGCCGAAAAGGATCTCTGGGACCGCATTTGGACAGTCTTTGTGGACATTGTCAAGGAGGCTGAGACGAGGTTCTCAGAGAGGGCCAAGTCTTTCGAGGCTACGCAGGAGGAAATGGATATTGGTCTCTGGAGACTGCGTCGCAAGAGCTGGGTCGCTCTCCGAGAAAAGGTCGAAGAGGAGGTCATGGAGGGCAACATACTCCTGAAGCTCAGGGAAAACTTCGAGGACAAGTTCCGTTATGACGAGGTTGGCGTCCCCAGAATTTGGTCGCCTACGGATGACATTGAGGGCATTTATACCAAGGCGCGGGAGTCCACCCTGACCTTGGTCCCTCTCTTGTCCAGATTCCGTCTGTCAAAGACGTACGCGCCGCCCGATCTCCCCGAGTGGATCGGCGCTCAGCCGCGCGGTGTTGAGGCGGGCGACGAGGAAGATCTCACTCCGATCGGCGGCGTCGACGAAGAGGACGGTAAGAGCCTTGAGGAGGAAATGACCGTGCTCAGCGAGAGCAAGCGCCAGGATCTCGTCATTCGCTTCAAGAAGACGGCTGATGGTGTGTATGTGGAGGCGAAGCGAAGCGCCATTGGCGGCGTGGCCCAAGTACCGCTGTACTTTTACGCCCTGCTTTTGGCGCTGGGATGGAACGAGATTTGGGCTGGTAAGTCACATGCTCTTTTGACTTTTGGCGATCACGAAGCTAATGCGATACAGTCGTCCGCAATCCGTTCCTCTTCATCTTCCTCATCATGCTGGCCGGTGGCACTTATGTAGCTTACACGATGAACATGCTCGGCCCCATGATGCAGATGGCCAACGCGGCAGCGACCCAAGGCGTCGACATTGGCAAGCAGAAGCTGCGGGACTTTATCGTCAACTCGGACATGGCGCGCCAGGCGCTCAACGTCCCGGAGCGGGACAGCGACTCTGTCCTCCTCGACAGGCTCGACTCCAAGGGCAAGAAGCAGCGAGCTGAGGCTGAGGAGGTGGAGGAGATTTAAAAATCACGCATGATTGACGCAGCGAACTGAGTAACGGAAAAGAAAAAGGGAAAGGGGCATGGCCAGGCGATGCTAGCATAGTAGGATAGATAATGTCTATATGAACCTCAACTTCTTTTTCCCCATGAGGGTATTCCTGAACGCCGTTGACCCGTTGTTGTAATACATGGACGGCACGGTTTGTGCCCCCCCCCTATGGACGCCTCACAGCCTCGAAACTTGGTTTTCCTTTTTAAAACGCCTCGAGCCCTGCTGGCTTGCCGAACCAGGTGCCCAGCTCATCGTCCTGCTCCCGATCTGGCGTGACGAAATAATCCGTCATGCGATTCGTGTCCTCAGCCTCGTCAACGGGCCAGTCCACCTTGACACCCCCCTTGCCGTCCAGCATGTCCTTGGCCGTCCCCCAGCTGAAGCGACACTCGGATCCCCAGCCAAACACGGGATGCATATTGCCCCTCAGCCACGACACACACCTCGCATCAGAAGGGTAGCCGGAGCCCCACGCCATGCCGTCGCCGTCCTCAGCACCCCCGTGGCCCCCGTTCGCGGCCTTGTGGGCCTCGTACATGACCTCGAGCGCCGCGTCCCTTGTGACCTTGGCGCACACGGAGGCGGCCGACACGCAGGGGTAGAGGCTGTCGGCCTTTTTGGCGACGGTGATTTTGACGCTCGGGAAGACACGCTGCAGCTTGGCCTGGTAGGCGGCGGGCTGGCCGACGGTGTCGACGTAGATCTCCTCGACGCGCACGCCGCGGGCGATGACACCCTTGATGATCTCGACGGTGGCGTCGAAGGCCTGGGCGTTGAGGTTGTAGGGGTTCGTGGTGCTAAGCATGCCCGAGGCGATGTCGCGCGCCGAAAGGGAGCGGACGGCGTAGCCGCACGAGGCGGCGAGGTCAGTGGACGGGCTGCAGAGGGCGCGCATGAGGGCAGAGCGGACGGCGGGCGTCAAGACCTTGGAGTCGTCAAAATGGTGCGTCTCGCGGAGGAGCGGGTCGGAGAGGGGCATGGGGAGGTAGAAGGCGGCGTAGGTCATGGGGCCGAGGACAGGGCCGCGGCCGGCCTCGTCGATTCCGAGGCAGACGGCGGGCGAGTCGGGGGCTGCGAGCTCTGGCACGGCAGACGAGGCGGCATCTTGGGGTGTTGGCGAGAGATTCGGCGGCAGAGGCGAGTAATATGTGTACGAGTCGCCTGCGAGGGTCGCTGGCCTGTTGACTGAGGGTGGGATGTAGACGCCTGGGATTGGAGTTTCGAGAGCGATGTCTTCCGTCATTGGTGTGTCGCCCATGATGATGGGAGGTGCCTGGATAGCTATGTGACAATGCAGAGACAAGAACGAAACCGAAGACAGAAAATGAGGCGAATTGCGGCGAACGTGATGGTTGTGTAGGTGTGGTACTGCTGATCATGTGCAGCTGGAGGCAAGGTTAGACCCCTCGACGCGTCGTGACGCGCCTGACTTAATCAGTCCCACGCCCCCCCTGAGCATGGCCAGCCCAGTGTATTTCCAAGGCGCGATTGGGCGCGGCGTGAGCGTGCCCCCCCCAAAACACTACCACCTCAATATTCCGCAGCTCGACATCTCACATCTGCATGCGCACCTAGATCAGGCATCGCCTTCCTTCTGATTTTACGCGCTTCTGAGTGCCCTACAGCTACTCGCAGCAATCCTGCTTGTTTTCATCTGCCACAGCGCTAGTCCGCAGCTCTCACGATGCCACCTGCGCGCAGTAATGCTAGGCGCACTACGGCGCAAGCTGACGACTACCGCGAATTCGGTGTTGTTGGTCGGTATGTGCATGCCACGCTCAGCGCAAACATGATCCATCGCCTTGATTGATGCAGGCGACTTGACGACAGCTCAGCTAACGGGACGATGTAGAAAAACTGGTGTTGGACTTCCTGATACAGGCGAACGCGACGAACACGGCCTGGCCCCTGTAGAAGGTCTCTTCTCCTCTCCCGAGAAGGACAGTGGCACGCCCAGCGACGATGGCGAGCAGGAGATGGATCTCGAGTCTGGTGAGCCGAGTCGCGCCTCCTTCCACTCCACTCCACTGTCTTTCGCAGCTGACAAACTCGCAGAGGCAGGACCCGGACCCCTCTCGATGATGAAGGGCATTCCGCGATTGCTCCCGCGCGGCACATCACCTAGGAAGTCAAACATTCAGTCGCCAGCCATGCGTAACCCACATATGGGCCGCTCATCTTCGCCAGTTCGAGGTTCCATTATCGACTCGGATCCGCCCGTAAGCTCTACAGTGGCGCGGAAGCTCGACTACGGTGGTTCGCAACATAGCGCCCGCCGCACCAACGGCGTCAACGGGAGACAGGACAGCGCGGATGAGGAAGAGGCGGAAGAAGCGGCGTCGAGTCCAAGGATCGACTCCCCACTCTTGAACGGAGGGGACGATTCGCTCGCCATGGTTGGAGGAGACGACGTGCACGAAGATGAGCCTGAAGAGGAGGCACAAGAGGAAGCCGAGTCAACGGGCCCCTCGCCCACGCCAGCGCCGCCCAAACGACGAGGCCGTCCACCCAGATCAATCGCAAAGGCGAAGGTAGTGGAACCAGTCAAGGCCAAATCAACTGCGCCATCGAAAGGCAAGGCGCGCCAAGAACATAGAGCGATCGAGCTGCCTGCCATAGAGGGTGCCACAGATGAGTCGGAAGATGATGAGCCGATCGTACGCGGCAAGGCGGCGCAGAACAAGGCGGCACAGACCAAGGCGAAGCAGAAGCAGAAGGAGACCGAACCCAGCTCATCACAGACCTCCAAACGACGACGATCCGCGAGGGGTTCTTTGATAGGCGACGTCACGGATCTCGTCGAATCGGCCCCTGAGCATGAACCAGCGGACGCGCCTTCGCCGAAACGCCAGCGTACAGAAGCCAAACCAGGCCGACCCGCAGGGCGACCTCCAAAGAACAAGAACAAAACCAAGGAGCCCGAACCGGCAAAGAAGACGGCAGCGCCGAAGGCAGGCAGGCCCCCAAAAGATGACGCGCTAGAAGCGCCAAGCGCAGCTAAGAAGCGCGGAAGACCACGCAAATCGGACGTCGGCGAGGATTCCATCATGGGACGCGTCCAAAAGGGCCCACCGCTGCCTAAAGCTCGTGGCCTTGTATCCCTCAAGCGCGAAGCCAACGACGCAATCCACCTGACGCGATCTGGCCGTCAGTCCTACCGCCCTCTGGCCTACTGGCGCAACGAGCACGTTGTGCAAGACGAGGAGGAGGCGTGGGATGATGCGCTCGGCACGAAACGCCAACACTCACGATTCGTCCTCCCGAGCGTCAAGGAGGTGGTACGGGTGGAAGAGGAGGAAGCCGCCCCGAAACGCAAACCCGGACGCACAGGCAAGAAGGGCAGACCGTCCAAGGCGAAGCGTCAGGTCGACGAGGAGGAGGAAGATCCAGAACCATGGGAGCTGGAAAATGGCCGCGTCGAGGGCGAGACTGTCGTCTGGGACCCCGACTACGAACTCAACCCGCCGGCGCCGGATGAAGCGGTCGCCTTTGAGCAAAACGAGCTCGCCATCGCGTCGAGCGCCATCCAGACGCGCGAGATTCGCGACGCGACGTTCCGGTTCGCCAAGCTGCTCAGCCTGCAATTCTTCGGCGCCGGCGTCGTGGACCTGCCGCCGGGCACGGAGAAGAAGCCGAAGAATTCACGGAAGAACCAAATGACGTTTTTCGTGCACTACGGCAAGGTGCTAGTGACGGTCAACGAGACGCAGTTCAGGATCAGCGCGGGCGGATTCTGGAACGTGCCACGAGGTCCGTATTCATCTCCCCTGAACATGCATCACCTCCATGGTCCCCTTTACTAACGTTGCGCATAGGCAACTACTACAACATTTTGAACGATTACGACCAGCCAGCCCGCCTGTTCTTTGCGCAGGGCAACGAAGTTATGGTCACGGAGCCGGAGCCCAGAGCGAACCGGGCCGACGAGTCGTCCTATGCTGTCTAGTTTTCTAGCGGGTGGCACTGTACAAAGGAAGGAAGGATGGAAGGGGGGGCACCACGCGGTATGAAGGCTGCAACTTGGAAGCGAAGAGAACGCGGGCCTGGTTTCGATTCGATGATTGAGTATGGCGTCGGGGTTGCGCTTGGGAATGATGGCGGATAGTTGAACCTTTCTGATGGACGGTCTGGGGCTGTGAAGGTTTGCGTTTGGCATGCCAAATGCACATAGGTACAAAGCAATAAGACAATAATATTCCGATCTGGAAAGTTTGATGTCACATGTCATGAGTGACATGAGTCTCTTATGTTTGAGGGTGAGGAATCTGACGAATCGCTCGGGACTCGAAGCTGTCGTACACTACAGGTCTCATGCGAGGTTAGTTGGGTAGTCTGGACATTGCGTTGCACAGCAGGAGATGAGGACGCCGAAGCACGTTCCGTCACCCAGTCAGTAGAGCGACATGGCGGCATGGACAGACCCTGTTCAGCGTAGACCAAGACTTCGGATGAACAAAATCTCTGCTGTTGTTCATGCAAACCGACCAACCTATTCCAACACGTGTACAGTACACCCACCCACGGCCCACAGAGGTGCGATCCCGCCGCCTTTGCAGGCGCGTCAAGAATGGGTGGCTGATGGCGTCCCCGGTGGAATGTTCCGCGTCCCTGAGCCTCGCAAAGCCATCGTGCCAGTCGAGATCCCTCGCGTGACAGCGATGGGCAGGCACGTCGTCGAGAGCTGACCTAGTCGGAGACAAATGCGACGGCCGCGCCCGTCAGACCGCGGACAACTCGGATCGATTTAGCACCGCCATCGGGGTTTGTCTGCTTCAGGCGTGCCTTGTTGGCGAGCCGTCAGGATGATTGGGTGTGAGGCTCGATGGAGTGCGGTACTAAATAGGGGAGGGTGCCTTTTAGCCTGCAGATTATCTGGACGATGAAACGAGACAGCCCTGTCGCACCACATGAGCCTGCAAAAGGGGCAGCCTCCAGAGGGGGGCACACAAACTGAGCATCAGTGCTTTTTTCTTTCTTTTTTTTTCTTTTTTGCTGTATTAGAGTCGAGGGCGAAGTGCTGATGGCGGCCAAAAGAAAGTGCATCAAGCACCTCAGCCGCGGTGATTATAGACCATCAATATCGTTATGACATATCTGGGTACCTTCCAGGTAGATAGGTAGCATCAGATCGCGAGGTAGGTACCTGCCGAGGAAATCAGACAGCTTATGCACTTTTCCCCGAGGTGATGCGCCAACTGCCAGGATTCTATTTAGCGTACCCTCCACTATCCCTTTGTCCCCTGCCACGCTAGGGGGGCCCCTCCAGAAGCAACACCCCCCTCCCCAACGACCCCATCTTGAGCCACCAGCCAGCCCTCCCAGCACTGAACGCTGTGCCAGCGTGTTGCCATTCGTCCAGCCCTCTCTGGTCTCTGGGGGGTCCATCCTCCAGTGTCCAACCCAGGCACACAGCAGCATGGTCTGGCCTGGCTGAGCTAAACTCAACGGGATTCGGAGCTCCATCATCAGGAAAAGGGAGATGATATGCACACGACAGCTTGTCTTTATCTCTTCTACGCCACCTCCTCTCGAGTCGAGCATTCGGAATCCTGATCCTCGAAACCAGCAAAGCTAGCAAGCAAGCAAGCAAGCAGACATTTATCGGTTACAGCACTCTGATCCTCACCATCGGCCACGGCAGCCCCCGGACCCTCGCTCAAAGTTAAGACACGGCACAGGGGACACTTGACCCAGCGATCTTCTACCAACCACCAACCAGCGGTCGTGCTCCACGGTCCTCGAATAGGCACATCAGCATCCCACCTGCAGCACTGCAACTTCGTACTTTGAACCGCTTCTGCCCTCGCTGCCCTGCTGCTGGTCACTCTTCATAGTCACAAAGCAGCGCCAGCCGGCCTTTGAGCCGCAGAAACACTAGCATCATCATGGCACACCCGGAAAGGCCAGCTTCGCCGCCCGCGGCCATGGAGAGGAGACCTTCAACGCCTGGTCACTCTGACAAGGAGAACGTAAGGACACCTACGAGCCTAGTTGCATGCACCTGCGTCCCTCTCTCCACCCCGCCATTAGTCCAATAGCCACATGCTGCTTGGCCCAGCTGCTGACTCTGACCTCTACGTTGTGCAGGACACCTTCGAGGACGCCGTCGACAGCACCATCGATACTCCAGAGGTTCGCTCTCTGACCAAGAGAACACCCTCGTCCCCGAAGCACGAGACTGCATCCGAACCTACAGAATCCACACCCGACAAGAAGGCCCCAAAGAAGGACGAAATAGCACAAGTTGCTCGGCCTCCAAGCCCGCCCCTCGACAGCGACGACGAGACAAAAAAGTCTACGGACAAGATCAAGGTTGACGTCGACATTGACGTGCCCGATAAGGTTGAGTCTGTGACCTCCTCGCCCAAATCCCCGAAGTCTTCCAAGTCCCACCGTTTTTCGAACACGTCGAACCTCGACAACATCAGCCTCGAGGACGACGCTGTCACTTCCTCTCCCCCTCCACCACGACCAGGTCAGTTGCCTCACCATTGAAAAGTGTACCTCGTGAATGGACTAGGCTCACCCGAGTGTATATCTTGCAGTCCCCAAAGATAGTCCGAAAAAGGAGGCCGCACCCAGATCGATATCGCTGAGCAACATCACGAGCTCCCTCCCTTCCATGCCCTGGTCGCCTCCTGCCGATCAATCACCTTCCAAATCACCTCTCGCGCCGCCTGCCGCTTCCCTCCAGCAGTTGCCGCCAAACCCAGGACCACCAACTCGCAAACTCACGAGCCCATTCTCGTGGCTCTCCCGAAACAGCACATCAAAGGAGAAGGATACCACCAAGCAGTCGCCGCCCGCCACTTCGCCCCGAAGGAACACGGCCAGTTCTATCGCAACCATGGCTAGCAACCCCGAGATGATGCTCAGCAGGCTCGACGAGGAGAGAGAGGGACACGATGCCGAGAGCGGCAGGAATAGTCTCAAGGACCGCTTCAAGCTGCTCCGTATGCGAGAGGAGGCAGGCATCCCGCCATCAGCCGTTGCGGGTGATGACGAGAAGGCTGCAGGCGCCGCTGGGAGCATTTCCAAGAGCAACGCGCTCGGCATCTCGGTGCCTGGGCACGATGGAGAGGCTGGCGAGACCATTCCCGACCAGCCGCCCAAGTCACCCATGCCGACGAGCCCGAACCCGGCACTGGCACCTGGAACCGCATCGGGCGTCAATGCTGGTCCCTCGGACATGTCTGACGCGCAGGTCGACTGGGATCTGTGGCAGTCTGTCGTCTACGAGGGGCCAGCGGTGGTCGCCCGCACGAGCGCCGACGAGCTGAACAGGGCGATCGCTACGGGCATCCCCAGCGCCATCCGTGGCGTCATCTGGCAGGTTCTCGCCCAGAGCAACAACGTCGAGCTCGAGGCCATGTACCGGAGTCTCAAGGCCAGGGGCACCGAAAAGGACCAGGACCGCAACAGCAACGGCACGTCGATCAGCTCCGCGAGCAACGGAAACCTGGGCATTCAGAACGACGCCGTCAATTCGTCAGCGTCTTCGGTTCACTCGGACCAGTCAGGAACCAACCCTGTCGCATCTCCTGCTCTCGAGAAGAGCGCAGAGGCTGTACAGAAGGCGCAGGCTGCCGTAGCTGAGAAGAAGAAACGCAGCAAAGAGGATGCTGTCATGCTTCAGAAGTTGGAGAAGACGATCCGCCGCGACCTGGGCGCGAGGACGAGTTACTCCAAGCATGCTGCCTCTGCCGGGCTCCAGGAGGGTCTCTTCGGCGTCTGCAAGGCGTATGCCCTGTTTGACGAGGGTGTTGGCTACGCGCAGGGCATGAACTTCCTGGTCATGCCCCTATTGTTCAACATGCCTGAGGAGGAGGCGTTTTGTCTCTTGGTGAGGCTGATGAACCACTACCACCTGCGTGACCTGTTCATTCAGGATATGCCAGGTCTGCACATGCGACTGTACCAGTTTGAGCGGTTACTCGAGGACTTTGAGCCCGCGCTCTACTGCCACTTGCATCGCAAAGGCATTAGCTCCCACCTCTATGCCACACAGTGGTTCCTCACGCTCTTCGCATACCGCTTTCCCCTCCAACTCGTCCTGCGAATCTACGACCTCATCCTCTCCGAAGGCTTGTCAGCTATTCTCCGCTTTGGCATTGTTCTCATGCAGAAGAACGCCTCGGCACTTCTCGCCATGTCCGACATGTCGCAACTCACCACCCACCTCAAGGACAAGGTCTTTGACGTCTACATCGACAAGGACCCCAGCGCCGGTAGCATACTCGACAACGGATTCTTCGGAAGCTCGAGTTCCAGCATTGACAAGGAAGTCTATCGCGCCGATCAGCTTGTCCGTGACGCGTGCGAGGTCAAGATTACGCCCGAGACGCTCAAGGCGTATACACTTGAGTGGGAGGAAAAGACCAAGGCCGAAAAAGAGCGGGAGGCCGAGCTCGAGACGCTGCGCGCTGCGAATGCCAAGTATGCCATTAGCCTGCGCAAGCTCGAGGAGCGGGTCGAGGCGTACGACCGCGAGCAGGCCGCCCTGGCAACCGAGCTCGTGCACACCAAGGTCGAGAACGAGGAGCTCAAGGATGAGAACGAGACATACAAGGGCCAGGTACGCGAGCTACGAAACGTCATTGAGAAGCAGCCCGAGGAGCTCGAGACAGCATGGCAGGCGGAGCGCGATGATCTCATGAAGCGAAACGCCAAGGTGCACGAGGAAAACCAAAAACTGGAGAAGGAAATGTCAGAGCTGGAGGAGGAATTGGTGCAGACCAAGATGCAGTACGCCGAGGTATGTTCTTGACACCCTTCTCCGCCACCGCGCACGCTTGTGGCGACCTCTTGTACTAATTCCCCAACCCAGATCAACGCATCCCACGAGACGCTCGCTCGCAAGTGGACGGATCTCAAGCGCCAATTCGCGTGATCATGGGACGGAGATACTCTGTTGTCTGATTTCGTGCCCGCAAGCTTCACTACCTAGTCTAGCATGAAGGGCATGTTGTACACTTACATAGTTGCGCCTCTTGGGATCGACTCATCCTGGTCATGTGCGGTTTGCTGGGTCAAGACGCACCATTCTTCTTGCCATAGCGTTTTTTACCCTTTGGGCTTATCGTTGGTCTTGTGACCTGAACTGGGCAGTTGGGTTACACATGTCGGCGTGGTTTGGAAATCAGCCAGCACGTTTGTGTGCTGTGCACGACTGTAGCATTACTTTTTCTTTATCATGAGAGTCGGCGTAATGATGATCATGATAGACCAAAAACAACACGACATCGTACTCTGAAACGCATTGTCATCATTCGTGGCCGGGAACCGTTGTTCGCGAGCTAAAGCATGGAGGGTCACACAGACAGATACACGGGGAAGGTAGGGTTTTGGTCATTGCTTTACTTTTTGGAATTGGCCTCAGTGTTCCTAACCCAAGCCACTCCGAATGCCCGTTAGTCGGGCAGGTAAACGCAGACGCCGGCGGGCCCGCAAGATGCCGATCTTTTGTTTGGCGTCCCTGCGAAAAAGAATTGGTGCCAGACGGAACGATGTGAAAACCCTCGAACACCAAAGCCCACAAAAGTCCGGACTTTTCCCATTGCCGTCCTATGCCGAGCCTCACGGCTCGACAAGGTGACGTAACCCAACTCGTTCCCTCGTACTCATACCATGCATCACAGCGGTTGTCGGGGCGATAGGGGGCGAAACCCTCTACTTGTGGAGCTTGCGCTGGTAGAAGGCGAGCTCCTCACCCTCGAGGATGTAGCCGTCGCAGCGGCCGGACTGGCCGGGGCGCGAGGCGATGACGGCGTACAGGCGACCGGCCTCGAACTGCTTCTCGAGAGCGGGGTCGACCTTGCCCTGGGCGGCGAAGCGGGCGGCCTGCTTCTTCTCGATGGACTTGGACTTCTTGACCTCCTCCTCGACGGGCTTGCCGGCGGCGGCGGCCTGCTTCTGCTGGCGCCTGCGGCCGAGGGCCTGGCCGTAGTGGGCCTCGTACCACTGACGGAAGGGGGCGGCGTCGATCTGGATGACGGCCGACTTGGTCAGGGTGTTGGTGCGGACGAGCTCGTTGTTGGAGGGGTGGTAGGCGACACCGATGACACGGGTCTTGCGGGTGGTGCCCTCGGAGGCCCAGGCAAAGTTGCCAGAGTCAAGACGCAGGGCACGGTACTTGTGGTTGCCGCCACGGGTGCGGACGGTGTGGATGCGCTTGGCACCGATACGGGTGTTGGCCTCCTGGCGACCGGCCTCGAAAGCGCGCTTCTTCCCTGTTGGCGATGAAAAGGTCAGAACGTATGGTTTTTAACAGCACAATAAAGTGCCCACAAAATCATACGGGCTTTCGGAATTATTACGCACTGTAGTATGCGCGCTTGGCACCGGTAGCGGAGCGCTTGTGACGGGAGTCGCGAGAGATACCCATGATTGCAGATTCTGGAGAGTAGAGAAGAGTAACAGGTTAGCCGTCTGTCTTCTCGAGAGATGAATGAAGGTTGGTGGGCAACAAGAAGGCAGGATATGTGGGCTGTGGGCAGAGGCTGCAGGGGAACGACCAGAGGTGAAATCGACACCGGGGAAATCGTGGCAGATGCATCTCGCCGGCGTGAAGCATCGCGGATATCCGTCCGGGTTTGCATTCGTCCTCGTCGTCGTCTTGTGTGTCCGTTTACTAACCTGATGATCAGTCGGCAATCGAGAATGGGTGTTGGTCGTTGGGCGTGGTTGTCGAACTTTTTCCGGGATGAACTGGAAGTCGGAGTCGCGAGAAGGGAAATTTCGTCTTGAGTTGTGCGTGGAGTCTGGCAGCGCCAGTCGCTAACCCCACTACCGTGCACGGGCCAAGTAGGGCATATGGAGTCTCGAGCTGAGTGTGAGGATTCACGTGACGCAAAATTTCACCGCGGCCGACAAACCAAGTGAGAGAGCACGATCAATTTTTCAGCCACCTTTCTTACTGGTACTCAAGCCACAGGAACAGGGTCTTCTCCGTCTTTAGTGGAGTAGATTGTCAACTGAGGACAATCCAGCTCGCGAATAAGATCAAAAGTTGAATACTGATTCTAATGAGCGCTGCCGTTTGAATAACTCGTCTTTTGCAGCCTCTTTTGTGCTGTGAGCCCTCATGTTCCGCCATAATGACCATTTCAATCCACCTCATTCATCCAAGGCCTCCAACCAAATCCTGACATCGGGCCAGTGTCCCAATGGTGGTTGGCATCTCTCCTCTACCCAACCTCATGCGCTGCAAAGCTGGCCACCCCTGCTTGAAGCATCTGGTAGACCCCGTCTTGGTCCAAACTTTGCAACTCGCGGCCCTCTCTGGCAAAACCAACCCGGTTTATGGCGTTCAGCTGCTGATAAGTTTAAGAAGAACTCGAGCATTTATCAATGCCCCGTCTTTTGTGCTTCCAATGTGTTCGATGTATCAACCAGAGCAGAAACCCAACCAGAAGATTCTGAAGGCTGAGCCGTTCTATCACCCTGTTCCCTAGCCAAAGTCGTTGGTCGAGGCTGTCGAGCCATGTCCACCCCATCCCATGGCGACACTGGGTTGTGGTCGCAGGGGCCTATGCCAAGTCGATCGAGTCGAATGTTCTTCAAGCGGGCATGCAGCGAACGGCTTTCGTTGTGGACGATATTGGCAAGTCTCGACGTAAGCCTATTCTCGCAAGGGGGCGGAAGCGAACGGCGCATCCCCGCCGCCGAGCGCATATCACCGTATTCTTGCAAATCTGTCTTCGATGGCCAATCAACACGACACTGTACGGGGACTCCGGAACTGTCGTTGTACGAGATATTCCAGCATGTATCAGACGCAAAGACGGGTGACCTGTTGTCCTCAAAGGTTTTCCCATCCAGCAGCCTTCGCAACATAATGTTGCCGATATCAGGAGGCTTCGGGATTTCAGTGGCGATTCTTTCGCTACTGGTACCGGAGGCACCAAGTGTGCCCTTGTCGTCCTTCTTGTCCAGGTTCTCACGCCCATTTTCGGCGACATTATCAGCTTTGGGGACCTGAGTTGTATCGTTGGATGGGTAGCCCGCTGCCTTGCCCCCTTCGTCTGTTTCGTCTGTGCTGTTCGGAGAGATCAGGGATATGCCCGCATCGGGTGTCATGTTCCCCGAGCCTTGGTTCATCTCGAGCAAGCTGATCTTCCGCAGAAGACACCTCTGATCGCGTTTCGCTTTCCACTTCTTGAGCTCAAGAAACTCTGCTAATGTTCTGGGTACAGCTGGCGAGTCGGCAGCGTTGATGCGGCCCAGATTAGCCTGCACTTTCCTGAAGGCGGCTTGCTGTCGGCTTCGTTCACTGACCCAGGCTTTCGACTGTGACCAGGCACCCGTCGGCTTTATCGACACTGACACTGGCGAAGCTGCACTGCCACTTTGCGCTGAAGTAAGAAGATCTGGCTGCTCGGAGACGGTGCTGCGAGGTATGGGACAGAAAATATTGGGGGTCTGTTGGACTAAGTGATTCGCCGTCACTTGCGCGTCCCGCCAAGCAGCAGGACCCTTCGGGGCGTCTGCTGGAGGCTCAAAATTCTGGGAGGTCGGTATACGAGTGATTCCGGTGCTGTTGATAGCTATCCCTTTGCTTTTTTGTGCACAACTCTGTAATGTCTTTGCCTGTGATGAAGCATCCTTGGGCATCAAACGACTGGCACTTTCTTGACTCGGTCCAGTTTTGGCAAGCGGGATGCATATGATGCCAGGCGTTTTCGGCCTCGCAGGGTGTTGGACAGCATGTCCGCTCAGTATCCTCCTAGCACAGAGCGCGCTCGCAGCCGCAGCAGCAGCCGTCGCAGCCGCAGCTCTTGCTTTCATGGTGATGTGTAGGTCTGTCGGCACAGGCCTGACCGCCTGTTCAGGAGTTGGCCACCATGACAGTTCCAAACCTGGCGGTCGCTGCTCGCTAGCAGGAACTCTCTTGCTGTTGGTAGGGGGGGTTCGGAGGCCATTACTCTTTCGCCTTTCTGGGACGGGAATCCTCGCATGCTCGCGGTAGCCGTGATGTCGCCTGCCAGGGATGAATAGGGCTGATTTCGGATTTAGGGCGCTCCTGGCTATACTGGAGATCTTGAAGGTTGCATGAGTTTGGGCAAGAGCGATTCTAATTCTCTTTCTCCTCTGGTGTATCGGGCTGACGAATCCTCTTGGTCCTCGCTTTCTGGAAGGACTGCTGGCTGCTTTTCTTTCCTTGAGGGCGGGCGCGTGGTGCCCCGTTTGTTTGTGGTCTTTCATAATCGTACGTTTTCTTGTCGATGCCTGCGGTGAACAGAGCAAGATCTCGCACCTGGTGACTGACGATTGATTGTAGCTGAATTCAGGACAGCGACACGACCATGGATATTTGCTAAAATATGAAGTGCAACTCGGATGCAGGCAGTGCCGATGATGAACCCTTAGACGTGTTGGTTCCAAAGATGCCACCCCTTACGCTAAGATGCGACCCAAACCCAAATATGTGCGTTGCTGAAAGGTACAGAAGTGTCTAGTGAATGGTAGCTGCACCTGTTCACCACTATTTAGTAGACTGACTGCCTGATCATCAGGGCACTTCATGGTATCGAATTACCTAAGGCAGGTACGCAGGCAGGTGTCATGAGCATTCAGCGTGTGAAGCCACGAAGATAATGCACACTGAGAAAACTCCTTCTGATGGCCATATGCCCTCTCCAAAGGAGGTCCTTGGGATGCCCTCTAGAGACAGTTCCCGGCGTGTCGGTATCTCTCTTAACGCTTGATTTCGCGCTTTACTCTGATGAAATGAGCAGGCATCTAGTAATTTGACGCCTTTGAAAGTACGAAGGCTGCCAGGAATATCCCTTTTGTAGAAGCAGACAGAAGAGGACAGCAAGATTTGTAGGGGCTCTGGCGTACTATTGCTTCTCTGCATGATATGCCAGTCAGAACAGGAGGCGATACAAGGTCAGGCAGGCAGCCCTCCAATTGCACTGTGCGCTGCACGATGCTTTCGTCGTCTTTGTCTATCTTTGACTTCTTCGTCCTGCTGCAAGATCTGAGAATGGATAGTGAGTTGTGACATGATTCATTGTTACATACGTGACTCTGCCGCAGTTGTGCTCGCAATCGTTAGGATCGCCTTCGGTTTCTGCTCTTGGTTCGTACCACCAAAAAACGACAGAAAAAAAAATTAGTGCCTCTTGTAGGGATGTTGATTTTCAGGTCTTGTATAGCAAGGGACGAATCTTGTTCACTCGGATCACAGTAACTGTGCCAGTGTGCTCTATAGCTGTCTCTGTGTCTCAAAGATCCCTCTCCCAGATCTTAAACTGCTCTTTGTCAATCTGCCTTCAAGATTGCTGGTGGAATTCTGTTCCACAACTTGAAAATGACGGCAGTCAACTATTCTTTTTGATGATGTTCAAAAACCCTATGTAGCTTCTCAGGTTGCCAGCTACTCTCGTTGCTTAGAACATTTGTTCAAGCCGGTATGGTACAGTATTTTGCGCACCATGTAATCCAACACCTATGAATGTGACGTACATTGATTGTCTTACTACGTGCTGAAACCTTTGTGTTCAATTGAGTGCAGCTACATAACACTGTCTTCTATCATCCAGCTGCTGGGAGATAATACACGTCTCAACACCAGAATGCTGCTCGATGCAACCTCAATGTGAGTCTCATGGCTAATTCACTTAAGAATGATCCTTGACTGCCCATATATCCGCCCCTTTAGATTGAAGTTGCCTTCTCTTGATGGCGAGGTTCCATTGGCGACCTCGGATCTTGAATGTGGCTTCGAGTGGTCGCAAAATGATCAGTCACATGTGTGAGATGCCAGATGCTGCACGCACGATATCTCATTTTTTCAAAGATTGGATGAACCTAGAAAGAAGCCTTGCAGATCAATTCAGCTGCAGCACTTTAACGTCCATCACTGTCTGTTAATCATCGGTTTACCGCCAGATCTACTGGTGTGCATGATCTCTACGAAAAGAGAAGAATTTCGCCATGTCTTCGGGTTGCCATCAGAAAGGAACGTGAACATAGTATAATCAAGTGGGAAAGACATCCGAGTAGCCAGCAATCTATCAGAGAAACAATACAGGTCAAGGGGCTTAAGGTCTTATGAATACTTCGGAAGCCTAGGGCAAGATAGACGTTCGCTCAACGACTGCCCTTTTGGTATTATGTTCAGAGTCGTTCAGATACCAAGAGTTGATGGAATCACTCGACCGCAAGTAAACCCAAACATGAAGTGTTATGTCGTCAGGATGACCAGGAACGTGTAAAATGGAGACGCGCACGATATTCGCATCATTTGTCGGATGCATTCATTATTGCGGATAGATATTCATTTATGAGCCACTTTCCTCTATCCGAGTACCGAGGCTCAACGAAAAGCTCCATTGGGCGGGCAGTACGCTGAATGTGAAAGTGTCGCCAAATTTCCTACCTACCTAGAACAGTACCAAATTTCTTGTCAAAGCAACACCACAGTAGGCCAAGCCAATATGGTCACCAAAATTACCCTCAAGCTGGTGTCTCGATGTGAGTCAACAAGCGCCTCCTTGCATCTCGAAGACTCTTCTCACAACAGTGTTAGCACCAAAGCAGGCGATCAAGAAACTCCCCCCCACACTCGAGCTTCCCGCCGACACCCTCGTCGAAGATGTGAAGGTCCTTATTGCCCGCCAGGTGGGCATCAAGGACCACAACCAGATTGGTCTTTTCGACCCTGTCACCAAGAAGACGTTGAAGGACCGCAAGGCCCAGATTGGCTCGGAGGAGAATGTTGTCTCGTCCGGTAGCCTCATTGTCAAGAATCTGGGTATGCAGATCGCGTGGCAGACCGTCTTCGTCGTGGAGTACTTCGGTCCCCTTCTCTTCCATGCCGCCGTCATTGCCCTTCGCCCGTACCTCTACCGCGACGCAGCGTCGAAGCCCCTGACACAGACGCAGTGGCTTGGCTTCGCCATGTTCATGGGCCACTTCCTCAAGCGTGAATGGGAAACGCTCTTCGTCCACAAGTTCTCTGCGTCGACCATGCCTGCGCGCAACATTTTCAAAAACTCCTTCTTCTACTGGGTCTTTGCCGGCGCTCTCTGCGCGTATGAGATCTATGCGCCCTGGTCTCCGGCCGCCAAAGCGAGCAACCCGCTCATCGACGCAATCGGCGCCCTGATCTACGCCTTTGGCGAAATCTCCAACGCCATCGTCCACCAGAACCTCGCTGGCCTGCGCACGCGGGGCGGTACAGAGAGGAAGATCCCTCGCGGCTACGGCTTCTCGCTGGTCACTTGCCCCAATTACATGTTCGAGATCACCGCGTGGATCGGCGTCATCATTGCTTGCCGCAGTGCAAGCGCCGCGCTGTTCATCGCGATCGGTGCCGCGCAAATGTCGGCTTGGGCCAAGGGCAAGGAGAGGGCGTACCGGAAGGAATTCCCTGAGACATACAAGAAGAAGAAGTTTGTGCTGCTGCCCGGCATCTACTAAAAAGTATGGAAACATGCGCAGCCTGTCAGCTTGTCCCAGCGTTTGCTTCGAGTCTGTTAAGACACATTTGATCATGGAACAGGCTGTGCCAAACTTCAATAAAAAGGACACGGAAAAGCTGAAATGTGTTCATTTCTCGTTATTCGTTCTGTGCGTATCGTACTTCCTATTTCATGACGGTCATCCATTTCGTAATCGTGTCAAGTTGTGTTAGGCAGCGACGTGGCCGCTCTCCCCTGACCTCGACCCTGCGCCGCCTCGCTGCTGGGGTCGTGTTCAGCGGCATTCTGAGGCGTGTTGGCGCAAACATCACCCACTCCCTTTCCCTTGCCTTTGCCAGGCGAATCGGGCGCCAACCTCGCGCCGCCCGACTCCATGTCTTCCGCCATCCTCACGTCCCCATCACCGTCCACCTTCGCTCCTCCATCGCCTCCGTCTTCGCTCCCGCTCCAGCTGCCGCTCTGGCTGCCGCTGCCGCTCCAGCTCCCACAACTCCCGCTGCTCCCCTCTCTCACGAGTCTCATCGTCTCCTCGAGCACAAGAAAGTCTCGCTCCAGCACCTCGGCCCAATTCTGCACATTGCCAAGCTCCTTGACCCGCCGCGCCGCATCGCCCGACCACTTGGCAAGCTTGTCATTCTCCCGCCGCAGCCCGTCGGTGGCTCGCACAAC